TATGAATTTCTGTGCACCAAAGGATTTCTTAGAACCTCGAGATGCAGAAAATTAAATATTTTGCTAAGCTATTCCGCTTTCTGGAGAAGATATAGCTATTTTCTTATTGCTAGTTGAAATCGATAGAGGTTGCCATTTCGGGCCTACTGTACTCTCAGGTTTACCCAGTAAGATATCAATTTCTGCAGGCCTTTTGATTTTGCTGTATCTCTGGATTCAGGAAACATACACTTTTTCAGCAGTCCTGTTTAATCGAGGAGATATGGCTATTTTCTTAAAGCTATCTCAAAACTATAGAGGTTACCATCTCGAACTTACCGTACTCTCACATATCAATTGCCCAGTAACATTTCAATTTTTGTACATCTTGTAAAGAAACCACTATGAACATATGCAAATCCAAGGCTGAAGTTAGTTCGAATCTGCTAGCCTTGATACTCATTCTCATAACATTTCACGATTAACCACCAGAATGATTAGATAGTTTGAATGCACAGTAATTTCGCTGAGCTATATTTTTGAAATGTTTTCCATATCTGTGGCACTCCGCAGTATCCGTTTGCAGAGAATCTGCGCAATTCGATCACTTAAGGAACACACATCTTGTTGGGCAAATCTGCGAATATGGGTAGCCCGAAATTAATTCTTCTGATATTAATTTCGCATTGCAGTAATTCATTGTGCATTATTTGAGATTTAATATTTGTATTTACAATTTCAGGTCGAATTGTAACCGCCTTTTAAGTTAGCGTGCGTTTGAAGATCAAATTCATTTAAATGGATTGGTTGCTTGTAAATACTTCCTCATAAACGTTTCCCCTTGCCCACAAATATAAAACATAACCGTGATCGATATGCCATTGCAGGCGCTATCATTTCATTTGATCTAACCAACCTGACCTAATCCTGAATCGATCAAGTCTTTCAATGATTGATCAGATGAAGTTGTATACTCATGTTGAGATATTCTTTGAATGTATGAAATGCCGTGAATTTTAGTTGTCCCTTTGATCTAATTAACTTGTTAATTGTGTGTATACCACATCTGACCCAGCCGTATCCAAATATGTCACTGAATCATCCATAACTTATCACATTTCTGTAAAATCCATCATCTAAGCTTGATGTTTGTCCTGTCAAACTCACTACACACAACAGAGCAGTCGATAATATTTATTCATTGTCATTGAAAGTTTATTGGAACTCTCAAATTGAAAATGAAATTTACATGGATCAACTGAAAATTATACTGAACTCAATCAAGTTTATGCATTCACTTCCATGAATGAAGTGACCTTCGTGAGTCTATACAGTTGATCAGCGAGACTACGTTCTGTAGCCCTCTCAGTTGATACAATCGGTGAATTTCCTCGCTGAGCTGCATTATCAGCTGACAACGCAGGCAGCTTTTCACTAATTAACGTCTGTAATTGTTTCGTTTCCGTTGGTCTTATGAAACGATCTTGATCTATCGTCCATCCATACTCCGTCATCAACTGAACCAAAATTAATTAATACTCAAAGAGATCATCAAATTACCGATGATCGCTCCAGCTCAGAATTAATGTATATCGTCGAGACTTGATCCTGGCATGTATAACCTCAGTTTGTTTCTAGTTTACGACTCAATGAGTTACTAATTTAATTTAATGAGCATTGTGTGATGTGCACACCTCGTCAATAT